TTCTATTCCATCAGTTTGGATCATTTTGTCCTTTACAGTATATTCCTGAGTTTTTTCATTAAATTTTTTGACAACTTTTCTGTTTGTAGTAATAAGGGTAGCCTTGTTATGGTGGGAGTTAAGGTTTTCAAATGTCTTTGAGTTTTCAAGGGATTACAAAACAAAAGACAACAAAAATAAAAAACATTTTCACGAAATACTACATAAAAAACTATAGACTCTGTAATCCTTACCCCCACCAAAAAACTGGGGATAATCTCAGGTGCTCTGAAATGATAAACAGCTTCTGCTACAATAGCGGCACCAATGTGCAACACATGGGAAATACAAATTCAGTGACAAGTCTCATCCAGTGATGTCACAATCAAGGAACAGAGGACAGGATTGGAGTTACAATTACTAGTAGGACATATCAGGGGTCATCTGTAACACATATATTCCATAGAGGACAAGCAACTCATCATGATCGTTTCGGTAACTCTGGAAGGATGACTTCAACGTTAACTTACCAATTGGAACCCTTGTTTCAATAGCTTAAGCCAGCAGCAACTCTCTATCACGGAAATTATGTTAGGAAACACAAGCCCCATATGCAGGCGCTGCTGGAAAATTGCTATATAGGAATGGAAAGCTCACAATCAGAAAGCTAAAATCATCCCTTTTGTCATGAAGTACTGTTCTCAACTGACCCTAATTGTCAATTACTAGATGTAGCTCAAGATATGAGGCACTGTGTCTAACTTTGAATTATTTAGTGCTAGAACATCATGCATATAGCAGAACGTGAAGTTAAAGGATATGGCTAGCATCTTTTCATTCTTCCTGAGAAGCGCCTGTTTGACATTTGCCTCATATAAATAAAGGAATTAAAGAACCTTAGTGAGCGCGCTCACATACCCCACGTCCCCACATTGTCACTGGAGAAATAAAATAACTGTAAGAAAAAAAAATTTTGTATAAGAAAAAAAAATTGAATCATAATTTCCTGTCGATATGCACATCTACATAGTATGTCCTTATTATCTACAAAGTTTCATGAAATTCTGTTGTGTGGTTTCAGAGGAGTTGCGATGACAAACTGTTGCAGAGGTATATTGAAGCAAATAAGTTCAAAGGGGCGTAACTCCTAGAAAAAAATTTGAATCATAATTTCCTGTCGATATGCACATCTACCTAGTATGTCCTTATTATCTGAAAAGGTTTCATGAAATTCTCTTATGTGGTTTCAGAGGAGTTGTGATGACAAACTGTTGCAGAAGTATATTGAAGCAAATAAGTTCAAAGGGGCATAACTCCTAGAAAAAAAATGGAATCGTAATTTCATGTCGATATGCACATCTACGTAGTATGTCCTTATTATCTGAAAAGGTTTCATGAAATTCTGTTATGTGGTTTCAGAGGAGTTGCGATGACAAAAGGTTGCAGTAGTTTATTGGGCAAATAAGTTCAAAGGGGCGTAACTCCTGGAAAAAAAATGGAATCGTAATTTCCTGTCGATATGCACATCTACATAGTATGTCCTTATTATCTACAAAGATTCATGAAATTTTGTTGTGTGGTTTCAGAGGAGTTGAGATGACAAACTGTTGCAGTAGTACATTAAAGTAAATAAGTTCAAAGGGGCGTAACTCCTGGAAAAAAAATTGAATCGTAACTTCCTGTCGATATGCACATCTATGTAGTATGTCCTTATTATCTACAAAGTTTCATGAAATTTTGTTGTGTGGTTTCAGAGGAGTTGAGATGACAAACTGTTGCAGTAGTACATTAAAGTAAATAAGTTCAAAGGGGCGTAACTCCTAGAAAAAAAATTGAATTGTAATTTCCTGTCGATATGCACAACTACATAGTATGTCCTTATTATCTAAAAAGGTTTCGTGAAATTCTGTTGTGTGGTTTGAGAGGAGTTGCGATGACATGAAACAGGACTGACGGACTGACGGACTGACAGACTGACAGACGGACGAACGGGTCAAAAACATTATACCCTCCGCAACTCGTTGAGTGGGGTATAACAATTCGTTAAAAAGTGGGGCACACAAAACTGCTGTTTGTTTGTTGAAAATTATAATTATTCCTAGGGTAACATTTTAATATATTGTCAATAAAAAAAATTCAAGCATCTTGATGATGTCAGTCTCAAAGAATTTTTTGTTTCAATCAGAGTAGTAGTTTTACAATGTCTGATTTGTCTTTTTCAAAAAGATCTGTCGAGATGTCACATGTTTTTGTATACAATAACATATGATTCATTAACCAATAAATAGATTACTTTTGAACTTAAACAGTATTTTCGGAATTTCTTTTTATAGTAGTTGGCTTAAACTGTCATTATCTATTTTTAGTTTTTGGACTTTTAAATCTTCAGTCTTAACTTATAAAGAGTGAAATCATCATAATTCTAACTCTTTTTTTGTTGATCAGCATTATCCAAATACAGAAACTTTTGGTGTATCTCAGCCTAAAAATAGATTTTTATTCATCTATAAGTGGCAAGTAAAGAACTCACATTATCTACTGCCCTAATCAAACGTCAAGAAGCATATCAGAATCTTCTGAGACTCATTAGACAAATCACAGATGCAACATGAATGACAGCCCTATTATTGTATATCCTTTCATAATTTACTTTTGATATATCATATCGGCCATGAAACCCCAAACAAAACTACCTTACAAGTCATAAAAAGACAGCAACTCAATTTAAAAGCAATTTCATTTCAAGAATGAAAAGTTTTTTGTTTCTCAACACAACAAATATAGAAAAATCACACAATGGGAGTATACAATCGAGATATGATTCAGTATGATCTCTTGAATTATTATTTTTTGTCTGAAAACAATGGACATATCTCAGATATGATACCCTCTGATTGACAGTTCAATCATCAATAGATACTTTTTATGGTTAGACTTGTAATACTTCAATTATCTGTAGTCACGGAAACTTATAGACAAAGACGTACCAGGGGAACACACTCATTGTAGATCAGTTTAATATAAAATTATAGATTCAATGCTATCAATAATATCAAAGGAAAAGTCAAATCAAAGTGTTTATGTAGTATACAATTTCAATTTCTGTTTAAATATTCATAACTTCGATTATTTTTCAGAAGAATGTACATTACATGCAACCATTATAAATTTTGCAGAAACAAATTTCTAACAAGAATACTGTGAAATTGTTATTATTGTTTAAATCTTGAATAAATCTAAATAATTACAGTTTCATGTAACAACATATTTAAGAAGTTTAAAAATCCAACTGCCTGAAAATTAGACAGCAGCTGAGCAGATCAAACTAACTGTTCACTATCATTATAACATCTTCACATAAACATTCAACAAATATTAAATTTTCAAATGTTCTCTTAAAATTCCTGTAATCAGGTTAACAACCTGTTATTTCTATTTACAAAATACAAACTCATACATAACCATTAAAATATTGACACTTATCTATTGTTGAAGACCATAAGTTGATCTTTATTTTTTTCAAGATGATTTTTTTAAATGTAGTTTGGACGTATTCCGCCATTTTTGATTGTAAAATAGCAGAAAACTATCAGTCTGGATCTTTAATGAAATGTGCAAATTTTGAGAAAGGAATATAGTTCATTTGAAAGACTTAACATTTAAATGAAAAAGATTATGCGATTTATCTTATTTGTTTTTTACTGTTTTTACAAATACAGTATATTTTTTGTTTTATTTAATTTTTTTCAACTTTGTCATAAAAGGGGAGATAACTCCGATTAAGTAACTTTAATATAGGAATGTGTTAGGAATTTTCCTTTTTTTGATTTGTGACAAGAAAACGTGTTCAGTGACACAAATTTTTATTTTAATAAGATTTATCTTCTCATATTTTATCTTAAAGTTCTATCGTTTAGTTTTCTTTCTATCACACAATTGACAAAATTGAGTTTTTCTTGTATAATCTATTCAAAACCTGACAATTTTGCATAACCTGTAGCTTGAAAAAAAGCTACGTGACCTGTACTTTTTATATTTTTGAAAAAAGCATGATAATAAACTACATTTTAAATTGACAAATTTAAAAACTTCTAAATATTTCAATTTAAACCCTCCATCTACCTTAACATTGGTTTGCTGTCTCATTGACATCATGTCTTCTCATAAATATATATATGTTTATCAATTTTTGGCAGGAATCAATTATTCTTAAAATGTTTCAAAAGTTTTCTTTTAAATATTGTAATTTTCTGTTGACACCAAAACTGTTCCAGCAAAACAATGGTAAATTGTTTGTTGCTTCTCAGGAGTAATTTTGATCTTAATAAATCATCATGTTTCAACAAACTTCTATAAACTGTTTTGGCATTACCTACTTTTTATTTGTTATAATTTTGTCTTCTGATACACATAATTTATATGGCTTCAACTAAGGAAAGGTCCATTGGAGCTTTTGTGTTTATAAGGACCTCTTGTATCAGTGTTTTCTCTCTTTTACTCAATCCTAACCTTGTGAAAGAGAACCAGTTAAAACATAACGATTGCTGTTGTAAATGTTTTATGTTCTCAAATGAAACATTTGTAATTCTTGTATTAACCAATATCTTTTTTCAAAAGAAATTATGAATTGATATATAGTAGCCAGTATGTATTTTATCCTTAGCTTTAGTGCAAATTATCTCTTACTTAAATTGGCTTCTCAATAGGTACATAGGATTATAAATCAATGGTTTCTTATATTCAATACATATTTACTTTGTTCCTAATTACTGTTCTAGAATTCAAAATTGCAACATTCACCATTACATACAATATAATCATACTGTCAATTTTAGGCTTGTTCCATGCTAAAATCAATAATCTATATTGCATTCAAATCAAATTCATCAGTTAAAATTTCATAACTTTTTTCAATTCTGTAATAAAATGTCATGAAGGCAAGCAATATTTCAATCTTATTTCATTTTTTCATTATGAAATAAAGCTGAAAAAATAATAAAAGGTGAACAAAATTGACTGACCTTATATTTCTTTTTTTCTCTTCTCTGTTAGAATCCTATAGCCATTATCTGTAACAATTATATAAGGTTAAAAAATTGTTCAAGGATGAAGAAATCTTAATCACTTTTAAAAACAATCCTCTCTCACTAAATCAGCTCTTGTTCACATCACTGCATTCCAATGTAGTAAAAATGAGACTTGATTGTACTGACGATATCAAACGATACGATTCTATTGTTCGTCAATAATTGATAAAGATTGCTAACGCTGATAAAAAGACATTACACGACCTAATCTAAGCCAATGCAAACTTTCACCGTCAATCAAGTTCCAAGTATTTTGTTATTTCCTTTCTAACCAATATGCAACTAAACGTTTCCAAATAAAGAAATTAACTCCTTGAAATACATGACACTATTCCGTTGGCCATTGGGAGTAAAATGAAGAAAATTAAATCCCAGGTTGAATGACACTAAACAAGACAGTATATTGAAATCTAGTGGATTACCAAATTTGATTTTATACTAGGGAACAAATAATCGTGAATAAAAACGACATCAATGGGGAATAACGATAAGGTTAGAATGTCATCAAGATAGGAAAATGTCCATAAGTGATATAAAAACATGTCTATAATTGACAAATAAGCATTGATTGGTTAGACTTAACAATAACCAACCATACTTTTTCAACAATTTCTTTAATGAAAAGTCTCATGTATATCATTGCTAACTCAATAAAACAGATATTCTTTCAAGTTTTATAATGAAGGCATTGCCATTAGGTGTTTTTTTTTTCTACTGGGAACTCCTAGCTTAGATCATCTAATGCAATTAGATCACAAATTGGTCAAATAAGTATGAAACATCTGCGACTCAGAGCATCAAATATGTATTTCAGACAAACACAAACCTTAGAAAAGAGGCAATGAGAAGATGAGATGAAAATTTGTATTGAAATTAAGGCAATCTTTCATCAAATGTATACTTTATTTGATTTTTTTTTTTTTTATGGTGTTGTTTGGCTGTCACAATGATGTATAACCTATATCTCTTTTTATTCATATCAATTGTACATTTTGACAAGAGCGGACATTCTGAAATGTTTTGCCTGCATGATTATAAATGAATAACTTTATTTTGAGATAAGGGTCTATAACTACATGTATTAAAGAATCTCAACATTGATCAGTGAACAAAGAGAAAAACTCTGACAGAGAGAGAAAACAAACCTTAAGTAGTTCTTTAAAAGTAAATATACTTTGAGTAGTTGCAAAACTGTAACCCATTAGCAAGAAAATTAATGATCAATGAACCCTGAAATTAATGTCAAGATCAAGTGAACTATGTCAGATAGACATGAACAATTTACAATGCCTCTAAAGACCAAATATAGCTCACCTTTTTCTCATGGCCACTGAAAAACTGACCATAGCACAAATCTTAATGTTTGATCAATGAATGCATTCAAATGAGATAAGGGTAAGTTCATCATGTCAGACAAGACAAGTATATCCTACAATGATTCTTTAGATCACATATAGTTTACCTAATACTCACAGTAACTGAGAAAATCATCCAAATCACGAAAACTTAATGTTAATAAATGAACCATGAAGACGAGGTCAAAGTTAAGTCAAACAAAAATGTACACCTAACAAAGATTCTGTACACCAAATATTATCATCTTCTGTCAGTTATTGGATGAAATAAGACAACTAATCACTGTTTATTACACAATGAAAACACCAAAGGTCAGGTGAGGCCTGTCTGATGAACATGTACAACAATAATACTGACTTAATATAGTTGACATATTACTAACAGCAACTGAAAACTCAGTTTATCCTGAAAGTATAGTACATTTATTATTGTCATGTTTTCAAAGTACCATGCAAAAAATGTCAAGCCGTCAGCTAGGGACTCCTGTCAGATGTCAGGGTCAGCTAGGGACTCCTGTCAGATGTCAGGGTCAGCTAGGGACTCCTGTCAGATATCTGGGTCAGCTAGGGACTCCTGTCAGATGTCAGGGTCAGCTAGGGACTCCTATCAGATGTCAGAGTCAGCTAGGGTCTCTTGTCAGATGTCAGGGTCGGATTGAGACTCCTGCAGATGAATATTCCTACATTATGATTCCATAGACCAAATACAGATGAGAAACTCACCTTATCATGAAAACTCTGATTTCAGTAAGTCTTTGAACTCTGAAAATGAGGTCAAAGACAACATTTTTTATATCAGAAGTAAATTGGAAAGAACAATTTTAAAAGACAAAATTTGGATTTTCTAGTTCTCCACTTCCCCTTGAAATATTAAGCTTTTTACAATAAGTCAATGCTGTAAAAAGTCTCCAACATATACTTCTCTCTCATAATCGATCAAATCTGATAGAATGCAAGACAAACAACAGAAGACTTCTTTTGGCTAATCATAAATGCTTTATAAGAGCCATTTACCAGACTACTGGTTCTGCCAACTGTTCACATAGATTCCTTCACAAGTACAGTCTCAAAAACTTTTAAAGTACTAAATAAATAAGAGGACTCTCCCAATATCGTTTCACTAATATCTTTTAATATTTCAATTATTATTAATTAATAGTATAGTAATTCCAGATGGGTCAACCGATATGATTCTGATATCTTGAGGGAAAAGGTGGGCACAAACTTAGTTTAAAATAGTCTATAACAGTGTTCTCCCCAGGATTTTTGGATAGCACCAGGGTAACGCGTGTGGACTTCTTGGTGAAATATTTCATGCAATCAGTTGTGTCGCGTCGCGTCGTTTAGCTCTAGTTACTGTAGTTTTTATGTCTCTTGTTTTGTTTTAACACTCTGGTACTGTGTTATGTAGACATTGATTCAGAAAATTATTGGTAAAAAAGAAGTAAATAAAAAAACAGTTTGTATACTTTAATATTTTTTTAAATAAATAGATTATGATTCATAATAAAATATTCATCTGAATTTAAAGTAATTAAATCTTTTATAAAATCCAAAATCAATAAAAATAAAATATCATTCAAAAGAGAACAAAAATTTTCAATTTAAAAAACATTCTAGTTTCTAGAAAAAAAGTTGTTGAATGTGAAAGGATTCCTGTCATAAGAAGATATAAAATTAACAAGAACAATTGCAAATATTGTTTTATTATTTGAACCAGTTTCTATCTTAGATTTTCTTTTTTTAGAACATTTTGCAATAGATTTCATGTAAATATTAACCTTTCTTGTCTTTGGTGATAATCAAACATAGATACAGACTTAACACTGCCCTAAAATCTAAATCTTTATTTGTCATAAACCATTTAAAAAGAATTCCTAAATCTATAAATTTATCTTTGGTCTATAGATCTATAAGTAACCATATTCAATGTCAACAACTAAGTCTCCCTATTTCCCGCCTAAATGACAGGAAGTAGATATAAATAGATTTAACATGTGCTTACGGATAAAATTTGCAAGATTACTTCTGTTATTTATTAATCATGGATATAGATTTCCAGTTTGAAGGTACAGTCATGCATTTTATTTATAAAATATAATAGATTGCAATTAATTGTAAATAAACTTGAATATTCGAAGCGAACTAACTGGGTCATGTGATATGTACAGACAGATACTAGTTTGAAACCCGACTATCATGCAATAACTAGGTCATAATTAAAGATAATATTGGCCATGGTTTAATCAGAGACATATAATACTATAATATAAGAATTGGGAAATGTATAGTTGTCCATTATACGTAATGAGCCACCATTATGATGTACAAAAAATGTACCTATCGGGTCAAGACACTGTTTGTGTACAAGATCTACAAAGTATTTGCCGACTTGTCACAGGTCAGTGCTTGGATGGAGAGTGAAGCCATAAAATAGTTATCTGTGATCATAAAGTTATGAACTCTTAATTAAAACACAAAAGAATCATGTTACAAGTGTTAATTACATCGATTAAATCCAATCAACAAGGTTAACCTCATAAGGTAAATCGATCACGTGGTGTAAACAATCTGTGTTGAACTGGTTTGAACTGGTCAAATTGCACCTGGAATTTTATACCGCACGGAAAAGATTTAACAAGTTGTTTAAAACTTTAACGATTTACGATTTTTTAACTGAAAATTTTAGCACCACGGAGAAAAATTATACATCGCGGTAAGAACGATACCACCACGGGAAAAAATTATACATCGCGGGCCCGCGGTCCTTTAAGGGCCTGGGGAGAACACTGTATAATGCTCCGTAATTTCATTAAATTTGTATTTTCCCAAAAGAATCCTAGGGAAGACTATTGTGTGGTGGTACAAGCACTAACAAGCTCTTCAGATGAGTTACAAACATGAGATAAACATAATCTTACCTCATCAAGTTTAATGTATCTGTTCTGTTACTTGTTTGACAGACTGTAAATAACAACAATCAACTAACAAAAACAATTATACACACCAGTTATCACAACTATCTTTGAAGACTGAATATCACTGGAAAATTGTTTGAGCTATGGGTAATTAGAATAGCAAACTTTCAAAATCAAATCTAAATAGAAATTTTCAATTATCTAGACAACCATAAAATAATGGCTATGTTGAAGAAAATGTCCAAGAACAGTTAAAATATAAGAATAAATGTGTTAGAATGTCACTGAATATAACATACCCAATTGTGAACCATGATAAAAGTATCAATCTGATTAAAATACAGAAATCCTGTGTCCAAGTTTTGCTTACAAGGATCTGAAACGCTCCATTCTACTTTCTGTTTTTAAGACCTTTAGGGATCCTCTGGATTTGTCGAATTAATACACACCTTCAAAAATTTGAAGGCTGAAATTTCATTGGATGATGTAATAATTAACAGAACAGAAAGTAAAAAGGAGTGTTGTCAGATCCTTGTACACAAAGCTTGGACACAGGATCTGTATTTTACACGGATTGCTCAAACACGATATTGAAGTCTCATAGTGTTTAAAAGGTTGTGGGTATGTTGGCTGCTCTGTATGAGTCAACCTAGCTTATATACCACTATGGGTTGTGTCGAAATAGACAAAGACAAATTTTTAACCAAAGTCGTTCAAGTATAAAGTATATGTCATGATGACCCGAATGTTATTGATTGTGTTGTACTATGTAAAGCGATTGTAATTGTAAAATATATTTTGAAACATTGATATATCATGAAAGATATCTTAGGCATACCTGCCAACTGTCACTATTTGCGGGGGACTTCCCCCATGAAAGCTCCCAAATGGAAATTTTAAAAGAGCAATTTTGTCCACAATTTAAAACAAAATAATCAATTTTACCATGGCTATAGGATGGCAAATGTAGGTCATAGTGACAAATATGTTTGTTACAGTTGCTTGGTAACTTAAAGCAAAACCATTTAGGGACTTATTGACATACAGAAATATCTCAATCATATTGGGCGATCCAGATACATACAACATATTTTAGTCCATGTTTAACTTAAAATTGATTTTATTGATTTTTGGTGTTAAACACCACTTTTAGCACTTATTGGCCATTTCCTGGCGGGCAGTTTTTATTGGTGGAGGAAGTCGGGGTGGCCAGAAAGAACCACAAACCTGCCACAGGAAAACTGTCAATCAATTGGAATCGAATGCACCTGCCACTTGCACTTAAAACACATGGCTTATTATCCTAAATACTCATTCCTTTATGCTGGAAATAACAGGCCTTGTCTGATACATAAGATATCAAAGTTCAGCAAATAATTGACTTCTTGCTTGATGGGCTTATAGCTTACATTGACAGAAAGCAGGTGTGGAGAATAAAAGTCATAAAGAAAATTGGTCTATCATGCAAGTGCTGGAGCTTATGGTTAACAGATAAATAGTAAATGACTTTGGAAAATCTGACTTTATCATAAAAATGTTTGTGGTTTTGGTTATTTTCAAATATTTTAAAATAAAACTCCAATTATAAAAAAACAATTTCTTCAATCTTCAAGATGTGTTATTCTAAACAAATGCAAAAATAATGTGATAACTGGTCCAAGAAACTGAAAAGAAGCCAATTGTTTTTTCTTATAGAAATTCCCATTTAACTTTGAAATCAGTCGTTAATACTTTCTCAATTCTCAAAGAGGTTTCTAGTTTTCTTTTATCCTGATGTTTGTTTCTTGAATTATCCAAGAAAGTGGGCATCTCTCATAATCAAAGTGAAAATAAGCAGCAGAACTGAAGTGGAAATAGCAATTTCAAAATATGAATCCAGCAAGTAATTTTACAGAAATTCATAATTCATCAAACTTATTAAAGAATAAGTATTTTTTTTCTGTTAATAGTAGTTCATTTCAAATCAATTTTTATTGAATACCATTTATTAGTTAATTAATTTTTGACTCTTGTGTGACGAAAGACATAACCTATATATTCCATCGTCCTCATCAACATTTAGGTACAATCTGTGGTTCAAGTTATTTTAGACATAAATAGTATTATCAAATCAACATGGAATCTTACTAAACTTGGACAGAAGCATCTTAAATGATCAAAGACATTTTCCAGAGCAAAAGTTTGAAAATAGTTTTTTTACATATTTTTGTATTTTAGTGATAATTCGACTGAACTTTTTTGTAGGTAACATTTAGATTCAGTCTTATTAAGGTTTACAGTTTAATCAAACTTGGACAGAATTTTATGAAACTTGGACAAAACTAGCTTCTTCTTGAACAAGATTTAACATCTGTGGCAAATTTTACATTTTTTTTTTATTTTTTTATTTTTTTTGGGGTATTTTACTGATAAAAGGGATATTTTTGCACATATCATTTAAATATATTCTGGGTTCAAAAATTTTTTAAGACATCAATAACTTGTCAATTCTTCATAAAATTATAAAAAGTTTGACAGAAGATTTTTTATGATTACAAGATACACGTTACATTTGAAGCAAAATTTGAAAATTTATTGTTTTATTTTTTCGTATTTTACTGAAAAATAGACGTGGTCATTTTTAATAAAACAATTTCAAACATTCTTCAGGATTTAACTTTTGGACATCAATAACTTTGTTAAACCTTCATGGAAAGTTACAAAACTTGGATAGAAGATTTTTCATGATCAAGAAGTGGCATATGTTTGAATTTTTTTTAAATTTTTTAAATTTTATTGATAACTGGACTGATAAATGGGCTTAGTTTTTGGCAGTCATTATTACACTGACAATTGCAGAACTCTTTACAATGTTTTCATATATATACAGCTACTGTTTACTTCCTATATGATAGGAAGTATTTGTGTCCCAATACACATTAAAATTAAATGAAATGTAAAAATCAAGTATGCTGCTGTATTTCAAAATAAAATACAACCACAAAAACTTTAAGTTTTGAATCAAAAGCTTGCACTTAGTGTAGCGATATCATTATTATTATTGCTTATGTAACTTGTAACAAGAATGGTCTACAATGATCAATTAAATATGTAATATGAAAGTATAAAATGCAAAAAAATGGTGATCAAATCTTTATACAACTCCAACTCCATAACGGGTGTTGAACATCATCAACAAAATGGGCAAACTTTTTGAAGTTTTTTTAATTTTTGGCAATAAATTACGTAATTCTATAGTCTCGAAAAATGGGGGGAAATTCTTTAATAGCAGGTGCATATTTTCAATGTGTTTTCATTCTGTCTATGAAGTTTCAGGGATCAGGGATCAAATCTGAAGGGGGATCATACACAAATTAGGTACCATCTTTTAAAAATTTTGTTGAAAAATGACTAATTTCTTAGTTCTTAATTCAGTCTGGAAAATGAGGGCAAAATCCTCAAAGAGTTCTGTAAAAGCAGCTGTATATATAACCTCAATATTAGTGCATCAAGTCAATGAAGTTTCAGGTCCAAATTGATAACTGTGAGGAGTTGATTACACAATATAGGTACTGTTCAAGGTCTGTCCTCCCAACTGACATCAACATAATATAACCTTCTTTTTATTTCATCTTCATTGGTTTTTTTAAATGTTTGTACTTACATAAATTTCATTATAGAACAGATTTAGGACAAAATAATGTTTAATGACATGTGATCAATAACAAAGCATTAAAATAAATCTTCAAAAACTAATGTTAATTATGTTTGATAAGCCTTTAAAAATGAACAGACCATTAAATAAACTTCCAATTAGCATTTACCATTTTCTCAAGCTCCAACTGTAAACATCTAAAGCATATATCTTTTAGTACTTCTCTCCTCAACTTAACATGATAATAAAATACTGTATTTTAGTGTGCTTTAAAACCTCTAATGACATAAGTATTACTGCTTTTTAACAAAATTGTCATTTAATGGTCTCACAGGAAATCACTCTGAATTTCTTATTTTAACTACTGTTGAGGTTTGACATTAAAGTTTATTACTGAAGGGGAAATAACTCTAGGTTTCCCCAACAAATTTACAATAAATTTTATGTGACTGGCTTCCTTTACTGTTAAAACTTTATGAGATAAAAACTTAATTTGAGGAAATGTATAAATGAAGCGTGTTGAACATCAAACAGAATTTTAGCATGTCTATAATGCCATATCCCTTTTATAATGAAGAATTATTAGTAGTGTTTTACCAATGTTTCAGAAGCTCATTAAATTTTCATAGATGAGACAAATCATAGAACATGTAGAAGTCTTATGGAGAAAACAGACTGATAATTTTTTAAGGATAAGAATAAACTACGGTAAATGTATTGCTTTTGTACTTTAAATGTTACAGGGCATGAAACTAATTCTACCATACAGACTATTTACTACTGGTAGTTTTTTAATTTGTTTCTGCTTTTCTATTAGACTACCCGTACTGTAATTCAACAAAGGAGCATGAGAGGTGTAAATTTCCATTTAAATTGACAAAAAATAAGAAATACCTTCCAATTTTTATTTCAAAAAAATGCAAAACTTAATGCAAAACATTCTTGACCTCTCTGTAATAAAAGAACAATTTAGGAGTCTATGATGGCTCCTCTAAACTTAGTTCATGTACAAGCCCATACAAAATGGCCGGTAGAATCTTAAAATAAGTAAATTTATAATTCACAATTCTTATACCGACCTCTATGTGTCATTTATTTGGGTTTTTATATTGTTAGGTTGTTGTCTAGTTGAATAATAATGTCTCACAATTCTTTCTAGTAATAGTTATTTCCTGCTATGAAACCTTATTTTTTTTACTGGCAATACGTTACTTATTGAAGCATTATAATAAATATCTTTTTAAAATTTCTTCCAATTTTCAAGAAAATAGAGTGTGACTTTATGCTTGATTCTATATGTGGAAGGTTATATAAGAATGTTAATTGCCTCTGAAAAAACAGCTTAAAAAATGTCCTATTAGCAGCTATCTACATGACCTTTAAGAAAACACATAAAAAGTTAATTTCATTCACTTGTAAAAATTATGTAAGGTTTGAACTTATCAGAAGCAATTTTTAAAATTTTGCCAAAAAATTAATAATTATAAAAAAAAAATGTATGTTATGCACTTCTTACATTTTAATATCTCAAAACATAGTCATAGTTTACTGTCCTTCAACTTCTCAAAATATTGAAGAAAAAAAATTTAATTTAATAACTTAATTCCCATCCCATCATCTGTTCTGTTACTTATAAACATTTTTGATGGACTAAATAGTTCCCAGCAGTGAATTTAAATAGCCCATCTTAAAAAAAAATAATTTCTTTGGCTTATAAACTTAAAATTACACATCTTTAAATCTCTTCTCCTTTCAAAAATCTTGTATACCCAACTGACTTCATGGTATAAATTAAAGGTTGTGAAAATCAATGCATTATATGTTAATGTATTCAGTTTTACTTCTTCAAAATCTCCCGTAACTTTAAGCACATATATTTGCCTGGAATGTATATTACTACTATATTAGAAACATCAAGTTTGTACAAGATTTAATCCAAACAACAACATAAAGATAGATTGATGTACTTACCAATACCTACCTGAATTTTTTATACAACATCAAAAAGGAAATTTGCTAACAATTAACATGCATGTTTATTTTTCTGGGGAATGCCATCTACACCGAAGGTGTGGAAAATCTAAACTGATGTAAATCAATAAAATATAAGCATTGTTATTTTTTACGATAATTTTTTAGGATTTAATGAGATTATCTACTGATGTGTATCCTCCACAAATCCAATCATTAATAAATGAATCACTTCATATCCCAATTTTGTTATTAAACCCAGTTTTATATTTCCACAGCTTTACTAGCACAGTGCAAACTTTGACACAAGATTTATTATTGAAAATCTTGACATTAGAGTTGTTCTTGTTTTGAAGATTTGAAGATTTGAGGATTATTAATTAAACCAACCTTAATTAAGGATATAAATTTGGTTTTTTTTAGATCAGAAGAAAGCTTGTTCACTCTAGATTTGGAGAAATTAAAGATATTTTAACAAATAAAAAGGTAGAGTTAATTCCCTTCAGCCATATTAACTAAGGTATTGTAGGATTGTAATCAAAAAGTTTTCTGCTTAGCAAAATAGAGGCAGCCTTTCCATGGTTAAAATAAGATTTTGTATTGCCTCAAGCATACTACCAGGTAAGTAAAACTTAAAAACGAAACAAAATTTAAATGCACTAGCTTGGCCAGTATTAGGGGGATTTATAATGGTTATTCGAAGTAAAGACAAGATATTTCAAATGTAAATAAGTTTTGTTATTAAATTATACTTCCTTACAATGCATTACTAATATAACACCCAGATCACTACAAAAGAATCAAAGTGGGAACACATGACATGATTTCATACAATTATATACACTAAGAATCAGTTCTATCTAGATATAAAAAGTTACAGTGCATCACAGCTATCAACACAGAATATATTACAAGAGTATAGAGGCTACATGTGCATACCAAGACTATGGCTATTGTAACACAACATTGAGTGATGACTACCATCTATGTTACCCAAGCAGCTATGTACAGTACCACATCTGAACCAAATCACATCTTATTCTTTAAGTAAACCATCATCTCCCTAACTGCAATGAAATATGAAAATTATAAAAATAATTTCATAAAACAATTTTTTTTCAATAAGAATTTTTCTATAATAATTCAGCTTCCTGAGGGCTGTCACCCCCCAGACCAACTGCTTACAGTTTATTTTCCAGTGGCTACGCCACAGACTCGAGTTGGTCCTTTACATCATGTCAGTGTGAAAGCCTACATCAGAAAAGTTATAATACTGGAGTTGGTCCTTTACATCATGTCAGTGTGAAAGCCTACATCAGAAAAGATATAATACTAGAGATGGTCCTTTACATCATGTCAGTGTGAAAGCCTACATCAGAAAAGTTATAACACTTGGGTTGGTCCTTTACATCATGTCAGTGTGAAAGCCTACATCAGAAAAGTTATAACACTTGGGTTGGTCCTTTACATCATGTCAGTGTGAAAGCCTACATCAGAAAAGTTATACTTGGGTTGGTCCTTTACATCATGTCAGTGTGAAAGCCTACATCAGAAAAGTTATAACACTTTAGGGCACGTGACTGATGATATTGAAGAGAGGATGTCATGTATATTTTATGGCCAGCCATCAAATAGAAGGCATATCTTTTTATAACAATCCTTTAATCTTTCTGCTGAAATCTTGAAAGCATACATTTTGAATGAACAAATACAAGTTTTTCATAGTATGAAATTTTTTGGAAATAAATGTACATATATTTGTTAGGTACAAAGCCAACGTTGAAAGTTTGCACATATATGTCAGAATTTCCTACATGTAATGTATTTGCCGAGACTATTTCACTAGAGAAAAAGATATGCAAGGGCCAAGTAGCACAGGCTACTAAATTTTAGCTGAAAACGTTCATAGTGCTTATACATATCTTTCATATTGTGGCATGTTGGACCCCTAGATGAAAACTGTTATCTGTTTCCCTATACACTAATACAGGTTGGAGATATCTATCCATCACATTTTTATGAGGCAGCAGCTGAACAAATTTATGTTCAGCTTTTACAAGGCCAAGTTATTCATTTTCAAAATGTTTGTACTATCTCTGTATTGTATGATTTTACATTTAAGACTTTAAAATATTTTCTGGTCTGATCTGAGTAAAAAGGGGAGATAATTATAAATATGCTAGATCGAAAAATGGTTTATTTTTATCTTAACATACTCTGTCTTTTGAAAACATGGTGAAGATGATTACTTCCTGAAATTCTTGTTTTAGCTTTAACAGTAAACGTCCCCGTCATTATCATTACTGTTATCAGCATTATCATTTGGCGGGAAACAGGTAAAATCTAAAACCAATACCGGAATGTACAATGTTTCACCATTCGGAAATTCTCCTATATATATTTCATATCATGAAAAACATATTTCTTAACCCGAATAATTCAGTCGTTATATTCCACTGCTCTACGATGGCTACATTTTTACAAAATTGGGAATTAAAATCAGAGTCCTACTTTGTTACTATCACAGATTCCAACAAAACATACTCCGAATATGATATCATTGAAATGCTGGACTTTTTGATCGACAACATGATATTTCAACAGACAGTCAGTATTCATCTTTCCAAATACCAATTTCTCAACAGTAACATACACTATGCCCCGTCGTATGGCGTTTACATATCTTAATTGATATGTTACACTCGGGCATGATCATACTATTCGGGCTTTATTAATAGAGGTGTGCGCCGAAGTTACACAAAAACTCTGTTACAAGGAAGAACTGCAAATATCAACATTGTATAATTTTTACGGTCACCATCACAAATTGGTTGACCTAAATTATGAGTCTGTATCTCGACTCACTAGCGACATGTCTTTGTGATCTTAGATCTTTGGATACCAGAATTGTTGTCTGATCTGTAATTTTACCGGTGTATCATATTGTGACATTACGACTGAGTGTGGATTCGCTTTGTGGGTGATGTATGCACAGCAGGAGACGCTTACACAGTCGACGCACCCAGTCTCGCTCCTTTTGGAGATCATGCAATTCCGTCAGTTTTTGCATTTTACTTTGATTTGCATCTTTTTTAATCTATCTATGAGTAGATTTGAACATCGGTAAACCGCTGCTCCCTAAATTTATTGGATCTTATTTCAGCATAAATTTAAAGATACTGAAAGACAAAAGGATTTATACCAAATGTTTGGTACCGTTATGATGGATCATTTCCGGTTTAGAAAGTTCATATAGAGGATACTTACAGGCCTGAAAGGAGAAATTGCATCATGACTTATTTTGCCACCGATTCCAGAAAGAACGATTTAATTTTCACGATTTTAAAAATGCCTTCATAAATGCAATTGAAAAACAGTTGTAGGAAAAATTGTTCTAAAACTACTTTATCTTGACACAATACTGAAGACCAAGACATTATGCCTGAGCGATAGGAAGACTCGTCGGCCTCTACGTACAAACTCTCAGTTAGCGATGTTTTAAGGAACCAAGACACAGACGAAGACCCCGGTAATGATCTACATCCAGAATCATCAGACGAGAGATACAGTTTTAGTAATAAGTTGGGATCTGCAACCCAGCCAATACTGAACTAAGCCTTTAAAATATCTAAAGGTTTCATCATGATTGGGGTTTTAAATTAGGAGGCTAACTTTTTAGCTGGTTTTAGGACGAAAAGTGGGTTTTATGACTTTTATATAAAATCATGTTGCTATGAAAACAAAGAGTTTTGGACTTTGCTTTTATAATTAGTTTTTCTACTGGCTGTATGCTATGCGTCCGATTCAAGTATCCATGCTCTATCGAAATGGAATTCATAAATTCCTTTCCACACAATATATACCAAGAAACAACAAAACATATTATGAAAAGGGCTCAAAATCATTTAAACCCTTTGTCTCTTAAAGATTTTATTATTATAATTCAGATAATAATATATATATATATATATCCTGGTCATAAACAAGATATTATCTAAAATTTACGCGGAGTCCCTTAATCACAGTGTTTCGGGAAATGCTTAGAATACTATTTTCATGTGCATTTGATTGGTCATCAATGCAACTGCTCAGTTTAGTCAAAACTACGACGCAAGACTTGTTGAAGTTAAGACCATTTTAAGCCACCAAACCAAGGAAATCGTAGAACTGGAGACGGTTGTAATCAGAAAAAGGAAATAACCCAATTGAAAGCGACATTGTACAAAGCGTTAAGAAAACAAATTGCTCACCAGAAAAAAAACAACAACATGTCTTTGTAACAAAACTTTATAAGAACATCCCAGTCCAGGTTGTATTTTTACATGCAGACATTGCCATTGAAACAAAGCGCTTCCAAGACAGTCGAAACATACAGAATAATGAAGAAAGAAGTTTAACATGGCAGAGATCAGTAATAAACCTTTATATTTTCACTATAAGTGGAAAAATAAGAACAATGTTTTCAAATACAATTCATTGTCTTTTACAAGTCACAGAAGCCTAACATCAAGTACTAGTAATTGGTATCATAAATGTTTTTATTTTCATCAATTCTAACAACTTCTTGTTTTCATTGAAAAGAGACACATGGTGTCTATCATATTGGTTTTAATGTAACTGAAATAATCACGACTTCTCCGATCACCATTACGAATTGGATGAAAGACGTGTCTCGATGTCTCAGTTTCACTAGACATGTTGACGCTGTCATAGTTTCGACATGTCCTGTATAGTTCATCTGCAACTATTTAATTAATTGCCGCGTGCATATAAAAAGGATAACATGAATCATCGGAAACATTTGACAGTACCATAGACCCCATCAAGGAATTATATAACTGGTTTGCCTTGTCGAGACATTTGCTTCATGATACGAAAACTTAGTGGTTGTCGTTGGTTTTTGTCTGTCATATTTGTTTTTTATTTATTGGTTTGTCATAAAATAGGCCGTTGGTTTTCTCGTTTGAATGGTTTCACATTTGTTCATGTTCATTTTTTTTTATGTTGCAACACCGAAATAGATACAATGCCTTGTTTCATTCTAGAATAAAAAATGGCTCTGTAAATTAAACATTTCCGTAACATAACGTACATAATATCTTGAAAAAAAGTTTATTTTTTGATAATCTATATGGAGGTAAATCATATCTTGCAAGTATTCAAAAGACGACTTCTTCTAACATTTCTTGGGGCTTCCAATGGCTGTGTTTTTTTGTTGGTTAAGTTTAAATGTACTCAAACGTTAAATCAATGGTACGTGGGAAAATATCGATGTAAATCTCAAATAAAAATACAGAAACAAAATATCAGAGTTTGAAAAGCTGCTGGTTATTAAGAAAAATAACAAATATTACGTTTGCAAACGTAAGAGGGGTACATCATGTTTTTTTTTTCTATTTTCTGTGTTTCGGCGTGGACTAATTTATAAGGTTTTAAAAAAAACCTCATGCTACATCTGTCATAGGTTTTTATGTTATTCCTTTTGAAACAAATACTACACGTGGTTATAAATTGAAGAAGTAAATTGATCATTAAGCTGAACATTTTAATTTAAAAAATACTGTCTTAACTTGTGATGCCAAATTAATTGCATTATGGTAAGCAACGTTTGTTCTGCTCATTAGGTAAACCATATACAAAGTTTATAGTACCGACGAGTAGTTAGGAAGTTTTGACAAATAAATTACTATGAATATCAAAGCTATGATATTATTCACATTTCTTTTCACTTGTTTTTTTTTTATAATTTCGTCCCCTGAAGATTTTTTTGATACAAATACCTATAGTACAAGCAAAACTAACATACAATCCATCCACCATACAGGACATGATCTTCATAATGATAAATAAAGCAGTGCCACAAATTTGCATTAATTTGTAGGAAATAATCTCAATCCGCGGGAAAGAAAACATGTTTACCATGAACATCGTTCGAAAAATGAACAAATTTTTAATGGAGAGATAGACACAACAATTGGTCCTTTTGAATCTCAAATGGATCGGAAAGAAGTTTTTTTTATATTCCATTAAATTCCTCTTCTTGTCAAATCTAGATTTATTA